CTAAATTATTTTCACTTAAATAATTAATTTATATTACAAAACGAAAACACTGACTAATTATTTTTAATAACCGGCATAGGCTGTTTTTTTCCCAATCATATTTTTGTCTTCCGTGAAATAAAATAGCAGACTTATTAACAGAAAATATGCATTTATTTAATGCCCTGCTGTTATTATTATAATCACAAAATCTCTTTACATTTTTAATAGAAATCATTATTTTAAAGATTATGTCTTGACGTGGTTTCCTTTCTCACCATCGCGGCTCAAGTGAGCGCGCTGCGTGATGAAAAGACAACAACACGCGCACATATGTTGACTTTTTGTAAACAGTTTTGTTGTTTAAATATGATATTGCATTAATGTGCATACATGCTTTATAAGCTGTAAAATAAAAGGTAAAGTCTATTTGTTGCGTTTATGACGCAGATGGTTTAGCATCAACACGTCTGTTTCAAACAGCAATATTCTTCTTCCATTTTGCTTCTTTGGCAAATGTGTCTGTAGGCACGGGTTATACGTTATGTTGACAAGGAAAAAAGAAGAGGTGCGGTCCTCTTATGAAACGACTGAATCAGCTGGGTATCGATTGTGCAAAAGTGTTGCTGTATATGTTGATAAAATTGTAATATTTAATAATATTGTGATATTCAAGATTTGTACATTCATAAAGCTCTGGATAACTTAAAACAGCGATTAGACCTTCAGAGCGGTGTTAATGCGTCCTGAAGTAAAGCGAAACGGCATTAAACTCCAGCAAGACAGTCATTATATGCAGAGTCATACTTTATCTATAAATAAAGTATAACTATAGAAACTGTGTTCATCTTAACTGAAAGCTTCTGCGTGTTTGCTGGCCTCACGCATCATGCACCTGTCAGTCAGTCAGTCAGCACGTAACCCCAAAGGATTAAACAGATACGTTTACAAAAAAGTTTGCTTTGTTAAAATCCACTTACCTTTTAATACGTTTTGATGCGATTATAATCCGCTAATAAAAAACAACAACAACAATAACTGAATGTTTTGAATGGGTAATGTAGCCGTGGCGAGATGAATTTTGGTCCCCGCCTTGGAAGAATGAATGTAGCGGAAACCATGCTCTTTAAAAATTCTCTGTAGTTGTCTTGACAACACAAACTGGGATGAGCCGCGTGCAAAAGATGCCCCTCTTAACGCAAAGGCGCATTCAATCAGCCCCTTATGCAGCCAAACTAAAAATATATAAAATAATATTTTTTATCGTTTAACTGATAACATTAATCGGTTACAAACACACCCTTTCGGTTAACGGTTAATCAATTATTTTGAGCATCCCTAATTACACTATTTAACAAAAATGATGTTCCAGGATCAACTTGGATGTTAATCCAGGATCGCATTGTACTTTGCAAAATCATGATGTGCCCTCGGATCGCTGATGCTAAATTCTTACCACTGCTGTCCAGAGCAAACGACAAACCTTGCCTTTTCAGAGATACTCTGACTTGAGTGTCTTGCCATAACAATTCGGCCCTTGTCAAAGTTGCTTTGATATTTCTTCCTGATTAATTCTCCTGCATCTAACACATTAATTATGACAACTGATAAACTGCTTAATCTAATATGCAGATTGTAATACATTATATGGTCTAGTTAGGAGTAAGAGATGTTCATCAATATTCATTATATCTGAATATGACTAGCAATAAAGGTTTTGGATCATCGCTGTACGTTCTAATAGAAGAAAGGAAGCTTAGGCATTGCATATCTGCACTATGTAACTTAGTTTTTACTGCATCCATTGCCTCACTGTAATTCACATATCCCATGCTTTCAGATAGCAACATTAACAACAAATGGCAAGTTCACTAAGAAGCTACACTAACAACTGACATTATCGCAGAATAATTATTTACATCAATACTACAAACTCAGACATACTACTTGTCTCGAATGCTGTCAAGGAGGAATATATTGATGCAGAGAGTGTCTTCAAGTTCTAAATTTTTTCCAACTACCAGACTTGCTAAACTAGTGCCTTTGGTTGAGTTGAGTTTACCTTCGGCCCATTCAGGCTGCACAGACAAATAGATTGCAATTCTGTTTGATGCTGCTGGCGGTGGAGATATTACACACTTCACCTTTAAGGAATTAGGCAGATGGATGGAAGAATGGAGAGTGAAGAAGAAGCAGACATTCATGGTGTGGGTGGCACAGAGAAAATGAGACAAACCAGACAGTCAATAAGAACGGGGAAAGTCAGATACAGACGAAACACCAAAAAACAACATAATTTGATTTTCAAACTAATTAATTGGTTAGACTGAAAGATTCTCATGCACCCGCATAGATTCAGATGACATATTTTCTTACTCTAAAAGATTGTTAATACCCATATCACCACCTCCAATACATTTAGCCAAACCAAACTTATTTGAACCAAACTTAAAATATGGGACAACGACCCATTCAGTACATTTTGTCTCATAAGCAGTATAATACAGACTGGCTAGATTCATAAACACAACCTCTCCCTGGTAAAATGCTATAAACCTCTGCCCAATTCCTTTTTCATTATAAAACCAATTCAGAAATAACTAAATAACATACACTCACCTGCCACTTTATAAGGTACATCTTACTAATACCGGGTTGGATCTCCTTTTGACTTCAGAACTGCCTTAATCCTTCGTGGCATTGCTTCAATACGTTTCTGGAAATTCTGCTCCATATTGACATGATAGCATCACGCCGCTGTTGCAGATTTGTCAGCTGCACATCCATGAATCCATGATTTGGTGACTGTGGAGGCCATTTGAGTACAGTGAACTCATTGTCAATTCAAGACACCAAAAACCAGTTCAAGAAACCAGTCTGAGATGATTCGCGCTTCATGACATGGTGCGTTATCCTGCTGGAAGTAGCCATCACAAGATGGGTACGCTGTGGTCATAAAGGGATAGACATGGTCAACAACAACACTGAGGTAGGCTGTGGCGTTAGCACGATGCTCAATTGGCACTATTGGGCCCAAAGTGTGCCAAGAAAATACCCCCCACACTATTACACCGTCATCACCAGCCTGAACCATTGATACAAGGCAGGATGGATCCATGCTTTCATGCTGTTGATGCCAAATTCTGACCCCACCATCCAAATGTCGCAGCAGAAATCGAGACTCAACAGACCAGGCAATGTTTTTCAAATCGTCTATTGTCCAATTTTAGTCAGCCTGTGCCTCAGTTTCCATTTCTTAGCTGACAGGAGTGGCACCCGGTGTGGTCTTTTACTGATGTAGCCAATCTGCTTTAAGGTTGGACGTGTTGTGCGTTTAGAGGTGCTCTTCTGCATACCTCAGTTGTAACAAGTGGTTATTTGAGTTACTGCTTTCTTTCTGTCAGCTCTAACCAGTCTGGCCATTCTCCTCTGACCTCTGGCATCAACAAGGCATTTGTACCAACTGAACTGCCGCTCACTGGATATTTTTTCTTTTTCTTTTTTCTTTTTGTTGTGCGTGGAAATCCCAGTAAATCAGCAGTTTCTAAAATACTTAGACCACCAGCCCATCTGGTGCCAACAACCATTCTATGTTCAAAGTCACTTAAATCACCTTTCTTTGAATTGCAGCAGATCGTCTTAACCATGTCTACATGCCTAAATGCATTAAGTTGCTGCCATATAATTGGCTAATTAGAATTTTGTTAACAAGCAGTTGGACAGGTGTACCTAATACAGTGGCTGGCAAATGCATGTAGTTATAAAGGGTACACTGACCAATGACAAAATGTTTTATTAAAAATATCCCCTTTAGTCAGAACAAAACAAAAGCCTTATATAGATTGCTAAAGACACCAAGAAAACCTAATAGGGTAAATAACATGTGCAATTAAATATCTAATATGACTCTTTATCATAAATAAATAATAAAAATAAAGTTTCGTATAGATTTCCTTTTGAGTGCTTCTCTGTTAAAGGTATAGCTAATGCAGAAATGAAAATTCTATCATCATTTATTCACCCTCAACATTGTTTTGTTGAACTCAAAAGAAGATATTTTGAAGAATGTTGGAAACTGGTAGCAATTGACTTTCATAGTAAATTTTCCTACTATGGAAGTCAATGCTTGTTTTAAATGAAACAGAACTAGAAAAAATCAAACTGCTACAAAACAAGTAAAGGATGAGATAATAATAACAGAATTCTCATTTTTGGGTGAACCACCCCTTTAAGCCTATTCAATCATTAAAATGCATACACTTGCATGAGTGTGTGTGTGTGTGTGTGTGTGTGTGTTTGTGTGTGTGTGTGTGTGTGTGTGTGTGTGTGTGTGTGTGTGTGTGTGTGTGTGTGTGTGTGTGTGTGTGTGTGTGTGTGTGTGTGTGTGTGTGTGTGTGTGTGTGTGTGTGTGTGTGTGTGTGTGTGTGTGTGTGTGTGTGTGTGTGTGTGTGTGTGTGTGTGTGTGTGTGTGTGTGTGTGTGTGTGTGTGTGTGTGTGTGTGTGTGTGTGTGTGTGTGTGTGTGTGTGTGTGTGTGTGTGTGTGTGTGTGTGTGTGTGTGTGTGTGTGTGTGTGTGTGTGTGTGTGTGTGTGTGTGTGTGTGTGTGTGTGTGTGTGTGTGTGTGTGTGTGTGTGTGTGTGTGTGTGTGTGTGTGTGTGTGTGTGTGTGTGTGTGTGTGTGTGTGTGTGTGTGTGTGTGTGTGTGTGTGTGTGTGTGTGTGTGTGTGTGTGTGTGTGTGTGTGTGTGTGTGTGTGTGTGTGTGTGTGTGCATTTCTCATGGGTAAAGGGTTTGATATGTGTTATAGTAGAGTAAAAATCCCTAAACAGTCTAGTGCCTGCCTGCTGGCTAACAAGTAAACCAGTTCACTTTGTCTTTGTGGCAAACTGGGCCACAGCATGAGTCTGATTCAAGCACCTTATTTTAGCAGCAAACACTCAGTCAAATGTTTTGATTTTTCATTCTGAGTCTACAGTAATTGTGGAGCCACAACTGTTTCATGTATGACGCAAACAGCCCATTACCTGAAGGTCCTTGTAGTTTGGCCTTTTTCACTGAAAAGAAAAGGAAAGAAAGACCATGTAAGTGAAAACGGAAAATAGCAAGAAAGTGAGATATTTTTGCAATGATAAAATAGATGATGAAATAGACTAAGTATAGACACGGACAAAAACAGCTCAATGGAAGATTTACCCATGTATTTCTACAGCAAGTTCAAACAAAGGACAGGGTCAAACCCCAACAACCAACCTGTTATTTGCTGGTGCATATAGCCAGTATGACTTTTTAACACTTTCCCAAGTGACTTCCATAGTGGCCTGCCTGAAGTGTTAACGTTCACAGTGCAACCGCATTTCAATGGCAGCTGTTCGACTTACAAAATACTCCAATATTTGAAGCAATATTTATTCAGTGGACACACATTATAGAGGATATTACCTAAAACTCAATGGCACTTTTTTATTCATTCATTCATTCACTCACTTTCCTTCAGCTTAGTCTCTATTTCAGAGGTCACCACTATTCCAACATATGTTTTACACAGTGGATGCCCTTCCAGCTGAAACCTGGTACTGGGAAACACCCATACACTCTCACACTCACTCATAAACTACAGCCAGTTTAGTTAATCCAATTCTTGCTCCAACAATAGCTACATTTAAAAAAAATATACAGTTGAAATCAGAATTATTAAACCGCCTTTTAGTTTCTTTAAATTTTTTTATATTTCCCAAATGATGTTTAACAGACCAAAGAAAATTTCACAGTATGTCTGATAATATTTTGTCTTCTGGAGAAAGTCTTATTTGTTTTATTTCAGCAAGAATAAAAACAGTTTTAAATTTTTTTTAAAACATTTTTGGGGTCAAAATTATTAGCCCCTTTATTTTTTTTCCGATAGTCTACAAAATATACCATTGTTATACAAATGAGGAAATAAATGGGGCCTAATAATTCAGGGGGTCAGGTGTATAAATAAATTAAATAATTTAAAAAATAGTGCTTCTATAGTTTATAAAAATAGGGTTTCGTCTTTCACTGCAGCAGATTAAAGAACATATTCTGACCTTAAAATGCAAAACATTTGCGAGTATACACAATTTAATTATATTTTAAGATATATATATATATTTAAGAGTAGAAAACAGTTCTATTGTACAAACAATGTAGTATTTTTAGTACTAATTCTAGGGGAAATAAACAGTTCTCTGTAACAATTTTAGTACAAAAGCAATAGTCAAAAAACATACTAAACGAACACATTATTAATAATAAAGTTGAACAACATCCAAATGGTTCAAAAGGGTGTCTAAGTAAGTCTTAGCTTTTTAAAATGAGACTACAATTCTGCTAAAGACAGAGTGGGAGAGTATAAATTATATTTAAGCTGTCAGAAAGTCCTTTACCTGAATAAGATTATGGAATGAATTTTCTGATGGATGTCTGCTCCATGATGGAGTAACACATATCCTTTTTTTATGTCTTTGTGAAAATTAAGTCTACATTATATGATTACCTTGGTGTCATCCCACTTCAGAGTAAAACTGGAATAATGTGTGTGATTGCTTTTTCTGTATGTCAAATAATTTGTTTCCTCTAGATTTACCTAGCCAGATCAGAGGTCATGGAGGCCTCTTGAATGGACCTGAAATCTTAAAGAATTGAAAACAACTGTTTTTCTGAGTTATCTGCCATTTTAAGTGTTAAATCTTTTAAAGTTAATTCCTTTGTATTTAAGCTGCCAGTTTGGATGTAGTTTGTACCAGTTTTCGCCCATTTTGATAAGTACACTCTGCCTTGAGTAAGAAACAAATTGTACTTTGAGTGTGTGTGTGTGTGTGTGTGTGTGTGTGTGTGTGTGTGTGTGTGTGTGTGTGTGTGTGTTGTGTGTGTGTGTGTGTGTGTGTGTGTGTGTGTGTGTGTGTGTGTGTGTGTGTGTGTGTGTGTGTGTGTGTGTGTGTGTGTGTGTGTGTGTGTGTGTGTGTGTGTGTGTGTGTGTGTGTGTGTGTGTGTGTGTGTGTGTGTGTGTGTGTGTGTGTGTGTGTGTGTGTGTGTGTGTGTGTGTGTGTGTGTGTGTGTGTGTGTGTGTGTGTGTGTGTGTGTGTGTGTGTGTGTGTGTGTGTGTGTGTGTGTGTGTGTGTGTGTGTGTGTGTGTGTGTGTGTGTGTGTGTGTGTGTGTGTGTGTGTGTGTGTGTGTGTGTGTGTGTGTGTGTGTGTGTGTGTGTGTGTGTGTGTGTGTGTGTGTGTGTGTGTGTGTGTGTGTGTGTGTGTGTGTGTGTGTGTGTGTGTGTGTGTGTGTGTGTGTGTGTGTTGTGTGTGTGTGTGTGTGTGTGTGTGTGTGTGTGTGTGTGTGTGTGTGTGTGTGTGTGTTTGTGTGTGTGTGTTTGTGTGTGTGTGTTCTATTCCTTGGTGGACCATCTAATAGGTCTTGGCTGTCCGACGTTTGTATGCTTGAGATATTGAGATAAGCTGCGTCCCAAATCGCATACTTATGCACTATTCTACGCCATTTTGGAGTATAAATAGTGTAAGTAGTGTGTTCACACTGAAAACTCTAAAAATAATAAGTGCACTTTAATTACCCGGATGATGCACTCATTCAGCCGCTAAAATGAAGTGTGTAATGATGGACACTTCACGCACTCAACGACCGCAGATTTGCTTACGTAGCGGAAGAGGCGGAGCTATCGGACGCACATGTTGGATAGCTTTATTTATTTTGGATGGTGAAAGCAAAATTCTCCTACGAGAGTGATTATAGCGCCTCCTGATGGTGAATGCGGCAATACTCATGGCAGGTATTATTTGATAAGTCGGTTGTTTATTTTACTGATTTGGCAACCGTCAAACATCATCAGGGAAACAGTTTGAATTTCCGCTTAGTAAAAAAACATTAGTGTGCCATTTGGGACAGCACTACATACATATACTATCCTGTTGAGTGTGTAAGTGCATAAGTACATAGTGCATGAGTGCATAGTGTATAGTGTGCCATTTGGGACGCAGCTATATTGTTCAGACTTGCACGCATGCACACACTTGGGTATTTAGTTAGTCTATCTGTGTTTTAACAAATCAGGTTAAAACAACTACAACAAACTTTTTGCAAATACTGAAGCTGGCTTCTGCTTATGAACCTGCATTTATCAGACAGACTGGTAATTTTTGGGTTAAAACTGCAAACATCTCCTACAAAGATTTTTTTTTACATAGAAAAGATAATGCAAAGTATCAAGATTTAAAACTATAATTAGTATTTTGCGGCTGCATTGTGGTCATTAAACAGTCTTTTCATATTTCATCAATTAAAACTAAATGTTTTAAAAACAAATCAACAAAATACTTCCTTGGCATATGAACTGTTACACTGAATGACATTTTAGTCATTTAGTCTTGTGTAAATCATGTTTAAAATGCTAAAGACTAGGGCTGCATGATATTTGAAAAATCTGACATTGCAATATTCTGTTTTGCTGCAATATATATTGTGATTAGGCATGGGCCAGTAAAAGTTTCTGACGGTATGATAACCTTTGGATAAAAATACCATGGTTTCACAATCTCACGAAATTGTGATTACTACTCTAAAATTAAAGAGGTATTGTAATTACTGCTCTAAAATAAAGGTGAAAAAGTTCTTTTTAAATGTCTTTAACCTTTTCCCCACTGCACACAATATATTTTTATTTTAAGAAACATTTTCAATATTTTGGAACAGTAAACATGGCAGGCTAAAATAGTTAAAATAAGTCATTGCTTTCTGCTCTCTTCATTAGATTCAAAAAGATTTCTTTACAACAAATAAAAAATACATTAAAAATCCTTATAACTTGAAAGGGTATAACAGAACATTTTACAGGTATTAAAACCTTGACTTTTTCAAACCACAGTAAACCGGTTATCATCCCATGCCTAATTGCGGATATAATTGGACCTGATGATTTGAATAGCTGTATTTGGAAAGCCTTAATTCATTTTGATCCACGGGAATGATCAAGTCCTTTTCTACGCAATGCATGTGAATAAAATATAATAAAATACAAACATTTAAAAATCTGACAGTCAAACGCAAAATTATATGGACTTTATCGTAGTATTAATAATCTTTTTAATAATAAAAACAATTTATTCCTGCAATGTGACTATTGCGGATACACACACTGCGATATCGATGATCAAACGTTAAATTGTCCAGCCCTACTATAGACATTATTTTTGCCTTTAGAAAAAAAATATAGTATTGTCAAAATATAAAGCAATGTGAAAAAACTTCTCTAGTGGTAATGATGTAAATTTATTGACTATCACAATCCTTCAGTGCAAGATACTTAAAAAACAATGCACATATTAAAAAAAAAGAAATATAAAATAAGATTTTAGAGCTGAACGGCAAAAATGCAATCTCAATAATTATATTCCATATTGAACGATAACGATAAATATATTGATATCAGTTGTTAATGCTTCTAGATTTAAAAAGAGTACCCCAACAATGACTGAAGCCACAAAAATAAGAGGGTCCATTAAATGGCATAACATTTTCAGCCAATGAATTTTCGGTGGCTGAATATTCAGTACATTTCTAATATTAAACCCACTTTTAGATTCCCATTGTTGCACATTTCTGCTGTGTGACTGGCTCTTAGATCAATATAAAGTAAAAAAGTCCAGAGCTTATTATTATTATTGACATTTTTACGCAATTTGATATAATATCGTTTATTGGCCCATGCAGCTCTATAAAATATCCGGCCGGTTTGAATGCATTTACATGCTACAGTCTTTTAAACATGCACACGTCACTGCAGCCGCTTACATGCAGACCCACACAGCACCAGATGGCTGGAGGATTACACCGCAGCTCTGTCCCTCCCCCCAACACCAGCATCATGCCATTTACATCAGTCTAACTTATCACTTTCCCCTCTAGCCCACGGGTTTCCTCTGAGCATATGCAAAACAAACTTACAAACATATATCCACAGAGTTCTCAACAAGTCAAAGTAACAAACAAAACACTGAAAATATAATTTCACAACGTTACCAGCAAGCT